TCAAAAAGTAAACGAAAAAAACGTTACTACAAAATTGTCTAGAACTTTAATTTTATAGATATTGTTCGGATACAACGAAATTCCAGACCATACTCAAATATATATTGAAAATTAATTTTGGGGGTTGTGTAAATTTTTTTTATATTATTAATTAATTTTTTATTTTAAAAAATATCAAATTAATCAAAATACCTATTTTTTTTATATTATTTTAAAAAAATCAATTATATATTCAAAATATTATATTAATATAGTATATTATATTACATCAAATTGTGACGTGACCTGAATAATTATTTTACCTCAAAGCTTAATTTAAATATACGACTCCCTAACAAATTATTCATTTTTCCATTTTAGTCCGTCACAGTATCAATTTCATTTTTTAGTAATTGTACTACCTACCTAACATTACAAATACCCTTACAATTTACAATATATTACACAAATGTCATTATTTTTATATCACGCAATACTAATAAGGTTATTTTAGTCATTTTTACTTTATTCCTACTGTATCCTAATATAATACTATTATTTCTAAAACTACGTGTAAAAAGCAAATATATACTTAGTTATGGGACGAAGCCAGTATTTAAATTCAAATTCAAAATCCAAACTCCAAGAATTTGTGATTGATCCGATTTGAATAAGTTGATGGACATGAATGATTGATTTGTGGGCTTGGATTTGAGACATGGAGAGAGGGCGGGGGGCGTCGGGGCGGAGACTGGCCCCCAGTGCGCAGCCGGCCCAAAGGCGATCCCCTGGCAACGCACGTCAAGCCCAATCCATTATATTCTTCTACGCAATTTTCTATACTTGTATCAAATTTTTTTCCTTCAAACCAAAACACAAAATAAACACACCCTACAAATTTATATATTTTATACTGTAAGTTAATGAAAAAAAAATAAAAATTCATTGGTAACTGGAGCGTATAAATATATTTTACTTAAAATTATTCGATTGTAATTTAAATTTCAAATTATCATTATTCACCTACACATTCTTCCTAATAAAAATATATTTATTATCTCTCACAAAATATTACATTAAAATATTATTTAAATAACAAAAATCAAAACAAAAATTTCATTTCAATTCATTTCAAATCACAATCAAACAATCATTTGAAATTTATGTATAAAACAATATATATAATGATGTATCTATAAATTTATATAAAAATTAAGAATATTTTGTTATTAATATTGCATTACTTTTAGTATAATAGAAAATATATAAATTTAGATGAAAATAACAAAAATGACAAGATATATACTTTTGGATGAATCGTATGAAATGTTTACTTTATATTTCTTTTGTTGGGAACTTTCGTTTGCGGATATATAAATTAATAGTTGTATTTTTCTAACAATTTAAGTTTTTAGGTGAAACAGTTATTTAACATCCGACATGATATTAGAGCTTAGCTAGGTCTCAAGTTCTCGAGTCCCGTCACCCCCATTTGCGTGTGCAAGTTTCTGTTATGAATTTATTCCCGAATCTTATGAATTTATTACCGAATCTTTGGATTTATCTAGCGTAATTCACCCCTAAACCCACTCTTTTAAAGAACTTGTCATGTTAGACTTCGAACAATCAAAATTTCTAAGAATACCCTCATTTGCATTTGAGGGGTGTGTATTAAAGTCAAAAGAAGTATGGTCCCTTTATATATGTGGGAGATTGCATTGAATGAGTACACCAAAATTCAACATAAAATTGGCCAAGCCCTATTATTGACCATGACAAATATATATATATATATATATAAGCCAAATATGCAATTAATACGAATCAACAGGCTAGGATATTGCTTTTTAAGTTATCCAAATTTATTTATTTAATTTTTTTGAAATTGTCAAAAAAATTAATTGTTTTTTCAATAAAAAAATTATACTCCGTCCCAGATACCATGTCCATGTTGTCATTTCTGTCCGTCCCACATACCATGTCACTTTCTTTTTTTGAAAAATGATTACACACTTTAATCTCATTTTAAATTTTTAAATTTTATTTTTTAAAATTTTAATTAAACTAATTAGTTATCTTAATCTTAATTTATAATTATTTATATGATAAGATAATTATTTTCACTAATATATTCTTAATTATCTACTAATTACACCCCTCCTCCTAAAATACCGTGTCTACATTGTAGCAGACACGGTATTTGGGACGGAGGGAGTATTATTTTATGTACCTTTTTAGCTATGGGAAATAAAAAAAATAACAAAAATACATGTCTATATTAATATTTATATCCAAAAATCTGACAATATTATAAGTTGTCAACAAATCACTTGAATTAATACATTATATTTTTAGTTCAGACCCTTGAATTTAACATTAGGTGAAAAATAGAGAATATGTTTATGTACACATTTTTATAACATTTGACATTATTCAACAATTCTAATTTTTTTTTTTAAAAAAAAATATATATATATCATGAATTACATTTTTGGATATTACAAAGCAAAGATGTTTATTCAACTTTTTATTTTATTTCTTAAAGTCAAATAGTTATTTGATACTATAATTTATTGAAAGTGGATGTTATGTTGAATTTATATATTTTTAAAGTAATGTTGATTATGAATATATTTAAAGTAAAGTTAATTTATATATTTGATTCATTGACATAAAATTTTAGTTGGAAAACAAAATAAATAATTAAATATAGAATCAGATTTATTCTAATATAGAATTGGCCCATTTTTACATCCTAGGAGTAGGCCCATATTTTCAGTTTTTCAAACCCACATCACACTTGGCCTTTTTATCCTTGTGGTATATTTTTTATTTTCTATTTTTTAACTATTTAATTTAGCATGTGTTCATTCAAACAACTTTTTGAATATAAGATTTTTAATTAATATTACAGAAAATATAATATTTACATATATCTACACAATATATATATATATAATACTATATATTCTATTCTCTTATAAAATGTAAATAATTTAATACAAAATATTCCTTTATCCGTCTTACATATCTTACAATATTTTCAAAATATAAAATAATTAATACATTTATCCCATATCACCACTTAAATAAAAAAAATAAATATATATTTTTTTCTCTTATCGCATCATCTAATTTTCACTTTATTATACTTACCCAAATTCTAGTGTCGCAGATTTGAAGGATAATCCATACATCGAAAAAAGGGGTTTGATTACTCGGGTCAATTTCGACATTTGAGGAGCGAGATTCACGAAAGGATACCTAATATCTTAAAGAGAGTTTAAAGTGGATTCAATTCGGTCGAAAACGATCCTAACACCTACACAAACAATCCAAAAGAAATACTATATTCTATAAAAAAAAGTCTTCCAATTTATTCTTTAGAATATAGTTTCAGTCTCACACTATTCATTAAAAAATTTAATTCAAAACTATCAAATCGAAGAACACTTTTTTTTTTAATTAAATACTATTTTCAAAAAATATATATATTTTTTATCCGATTCCCAAACCCTAAATACAAATCCGATCATATCGACTAAGAACTAAGGACTTGTTTGATTTTGATGTTTGTTTTTATTTTTAATTTAAATAAAATTTAATAAAGTATTTTGTAATATAAAATAATATATTTTTATTAGAAATCGTATTGCCTAAATAATAGAAAAGTTAATTAATAGTTTGAATTGCAACCAAACAAACCAAGTTTTGTCTACTTAATCAATTAATTAAAAGAAAATTCTCTCTCTCTCTCTCTCTCTCTCTCTCTCTCTCTCTCTCTATATATATATATATATATATATGTATATATTATATGTTATCTTTTTGGAATTTATTAATTGCGAACATTCGTTAACTTTTATGATGCATGGTTGTGGTCTCTTGAGATGTTCTAACGGCAAAAGGGTGATGATAAGGCCTTGTTTGGTGTAAGATTATATGTTTTTTCAATAATGGGTGAAAAAGATGTGTGTGGCTTTCGTCTTCCAGATTAGATGGAAACCCTTTAAGTTAACCCCACTATATATATCTTTTAGATGTCGAAAGGACTTGTTTCCATTTTTGAATTCACTGTAAGAAAAAAAGATCAGTGTGTGGCTTGGCTTATCCATGGAAGACACACCTCTCACCACTATTGGAATTTGCTGAATGGGATCCCACTTATTACATCTTTTAATATCTTAGGGTTTGTTTGGACACAGGTTTTTGGGACTTTTGTTTTTGAAATACCTAGTAAAAAAAATTGTTTGATCTTAAAAGTTTTTAAATTTAAAAAGTATAAAATTTGTATATATTTTTACTAAAAAAATTAAATGATTTTTTTTTTTTTTTTAACGACAATTGAAAAAAAAAAAGTTAATATAAATTTAAATGATGTGAGAGTCTTAAATTTATAACTGTTGAAAAGATTCTTTGAACTAGAATAATGTCGTGTATACTAACATGGAAACCATAGCTGATATAAACTAATCATGTAACAATTTGTAGATTGATGTAGATTTTCTTTCTTTTTTTTTTTTAAATAAATATACGAACAAAATAATAGCGAATGTTACTTACGCCTATTATGTAGATGGGGTTCGAAGATAAACCTATACCTTTAATTCTTAGACAAGATTGGAAAAAAGGGCAGATATGATTTATTTTATGTCTTTTTATTTAGAAATGAAACAATATTTATTTTTATATAATTAATACAAGGTCATTGGCATAATACAATTATGTGCATGCTTTGAAAGAATACATTAAACTTTTCACTTCATTTTTATAAGTTATAATATTTATTTCTAACAAGATCATTAGTGTAAGTAACAAAAGTATGATTCTTGTTCATTATTATTGTTAAACGAAAAATAAAAAATAAAAAAATATTCTATGAGGGTTTTATGCTAATTATATTGTATTTTTTTTCTAATAAAATCTAATTATGGAGTATATTTAATAGTTTAGACTAGGAAAAGGAAAATTTGTGTTCGATTAACTAGTCGAACAAACAGAATCCACGTATGATGTCTGTTGGAAAAATCAAACCTAGGTTTCTCCAAAGTATTGGGTCTCACGAGCTTAGCTAGTCTGTGCAGACAAACTAATTTCTTCATCCCTAAGCTTGATCCCATTAGTGCATCATGACTCAAAAGGTAAACATGAAATGACAATTTTGCCCCCAGTCTGTTGCTACACTGAAAGCATAAATACCCCTCTCATGTCCTCCTACTCTCCCCTTTCCCTCTTCCTTGATTTTCCAACCATGTTTTCAGGTTCTTCTGTCGGTCTATGCCCCCCTTCCGAACCGGGTTTTCTTGACTGGGAGTTGATTAGTAATGAACCGCTGTTCTTCCTTCACGAAGCGGATCCGATTTTGTTCGGCCCATCTGAACCGGTCAGCTCAAACTCCGGTTCCGATGCTGCCAAGGACCGGGATGGGGTGGAGCGGTTTGGGTGCGGTTCATACGAACCGGATAAGAGTAATAATAGTAAGAATTTAAGCCCCGCCGGTTCGGCCGGGCTAGGGTTGACGGAGGAGCGGAAGCGGCGGCGGATGCTGTCGAACCGGGCGTCGGCTCAGCGGTCGCGGCAGAGGAAACAGCAGCACTTGAAGGAGTTGAGGTGTCGCGTGAACCGGTTTAAGGTGGTGAACCGGAAAGTGATGGGGGAACTCCGGTTCGTTCTGGGTCAGACCGAGTTTGTTATCAGACAGAATGAATGCCTGCAGGCGGAGGCGGTGGTGCTCCGGCGGAGACTCTCCGATATGCGGCGGCTGCTTATTGCACGGCAGCTTCAGCAGCAGTACTATTTGAACAATTTGTCGCCGGCCGCCGTCTGCATGGCCGCAATGCATTGATTGATATGATCGCCGGCCGGCGGCCGCCATTAATGAGCAGTTGCAGAATTATTCAATCTCTTAATTTGACTGAGTAAATAAAACTAGCTCATCCATGGAGGAGCGGAAGAGTGCCTTCATTTATATATATATATATATATATGTATGTATTTATAAATGGAAAACTAGAACTCTCTCTCTCTCTCCCCCTTTCTCACTCACTCTCTCTCTCTAGGGTTTGTGAAGTGTGCTACTGGCAGTGTAAATTACAAAATCATATTGGGATAATTATGAAATTGATTCGAAAATGGATATATTGTTTGTTGTGGTTTTCTTTTTTTGTCAAAAAAAAAAGAAGAAAAAAAGAGTGTTGTTAATTACTTGGTCGTATTCTTTGGAGCCAACAACTAATTGGCATTATTTCCAAAAATATTAATTATCCGATAAAGAAATCTTATTAAATAAAAATCAACAACTAATTAATAAAAACTAACAATTCAGACACACAAAACCTAATTTAAATTTTCTATAACAATATACTTACATAATAAGTTTTCATACCTAACAACAAAAACATTAAAAATAAATAAATGCTAAACGAAAAAACCTATGCGATATTGATATACAGGAAATCGGTCCTTAGCTTGTTCTTTATTTTTGTTTTCTTTCAAAATAATCAAATTAGATATTTAGTTTTTATTCAAAATATTACATCATAAATCAATTGATCAATCAACATGTTACATCAGATACATAGGGTTTGTGCTTCTTACTTCTTCTTCTTCTTCTTCTTCTTCTTTTTTTTTTTTTTTTTTTTTTTTTTTTTTTTTTTATGTGTGTGCATGTGCTTTAATTTAAGCTAGTTTTGATAGTATTTTTTCCAAAGGTAAAATAGTTATTGAACACGGTCTTTTTAATAAAAAATTAATATGGTATAATATAATTTTTTTTATGACGTGGGAATCCGCAGGTACTACCCGAAAATGCGCACTGAGTAAAAATATTAATAAAAAATTAATATGTTATAATTAATATGGTATAATATAATATTAATATGGTATAATATAATTTTGAAGGACAAGTGGTGGGTTATATGGCAAAAAATAGTAGTATGTTTTAAATTTTTTACTATATAATCTTATCTTTTTGGATAAACTGTTTTTTTTAGTCTTGTATCTGACATCTTTTATTATTTTTAGATTTTAAATGGATCCAATCTGAAAATAGTTTTGTACATAAATTTTTTTTGCTAAAATGGTCCTCATGTGCCGTACTTGCCATGCTGGTCCGCCGTCGCTGATGTGGCGTTGACGCGGCTGACATATCATCGCTACGTAGATGTCACGTCAGCGACACGTGAAATTGTTTTCTTATTTAATATTTTACAAAATGTCTAGGTAAACTATTTTTTTTAGTATCGTATATATTATCTCATTTATTATTTTTAGGACATTTAAATGGATATTGTCTCAAAATAGTTCTGCAAGTAAAATTTTTTCGCTAAAATGGTCCTCCAATATGACTACATGACGATGACATATTAGCCACATCAGCAACGGTTGCCAGCGTGGCGAGTCGGGCACCGGATGACCATTTTAGCGAAAAATTTTGCTCACAAAATTATTTTCAAACAGAGTTAACTTAAAGTTCTAAAATAATAAAGGTGATCAAATACAAAACTAAAAAAATAATTTACTCCATCTTTTTTAATATTAAAAAAAAAATATTTTATATATAATTAATTATCACAATTAACTACTACTTATTTTATAAAGAAGAGCAACAAAACAAAAACCTACAAAATATAAAAGAACATATCCATACATATTATATACTATTATAAAAGGAATAGTTACTCCGCATTTTGTTTTATAATATGAGAATTCGTAATCGTTATTTTTATTTTAGTGCGCGACTAAGTAGCCGGTCGCAGAAACCTCCAACTTTATTTGACTGAGACGTCATGCATGTGATCCTGAAATTAAACTACACATGATCAATCACATAAAGTCGAAATGATACAATATATATATATATGTATGTATATATTTATCTTATCAAAAGCAAATATGCCAATCTCTCTCTCTCTCTCTCTCTCTGTATATATATGTATGTATATATAATAGTTATATGTGTGGTTATATATGTAGTTAAGTGGATGTTATTGACAGGTAATGCAAAGAAGAGGAATAAAGTTGAAGACAGCAAAATATTGTTGAAGGTATAGAAGAAAACAAAGATAATACTGAAAGGATATGCTGTTGTTTCTTTATTGGGCTAACTATCTATACATAATGGGGGGGTGGGGGGGGGGGTGGGGGGTTGGGTTGGGAATTAACTTTAAAAATAAATAAATAAATAATAAAATTAGAAGGAAAATAAAAGTTAAAATGCAAAATAATAGAAGTATTGGAAGCAGTTTTGATTATAAGTTAAAAATATATGGTTTACTTACCAGTGTTTTATTTTTAATTTGTTTTATAAGTATTTTTAAAATAAAATAATTATTTTATGTGATTTTTAAATAAAAGATAATAATTTGTATTTTTTTACTAAAAAAGAAACTAGAATAAATTTATATAAGAATCAAGAAAAACAAAATAAAAATAAATTTGAATGAATAAGTAAATATTACTCGAGTAGAATAAATACATAATGTTATAATTAGTAATATTTTCAAAATAGTGTTGTAAATGAAAAAGATAATTTTGTACTTATAACTACTTTAACTTTATTTGCTTTCAGTTATGCTTTTTAATTAAATAGGGATAAAAATGTGTCGGAGTAGACGCATGTCCCGGCTTATTTAGAGTCATATATTTTGGAGGTAAGTAGAATTTAAGTGTATTGCTTATACTATTCATATAAATAAATATGCACATTTATTTTTAATCTATTTAAAAAAAAAAATTAGAGTTAAACGTACTTGTTTTTTTTTTTATAGATAAAAAATTCATTGTTGTAATTGCCCTAACTCTTCTTTACTTGATTTGATGACACACTTAAAAGTAAAAACGTACGTGCACTTAAATAATTAGCTCAATGATATACTTTATATTATGATTATGACAATGAAAAATAAATATTATACCAATAAAAATAATTTATTTTGATATATTGTGTTATGATTTTAGAGGTGTCAATTTTGAACACAATAAAAAATATAAATGTTCGACATGAACACTTATGCTGGAAATTAGTTATTTCGAATTTAATAAAAAATAAAATTGACTTGCACCAGAAATGAAAATAAAACACGTTTGATTAAATCAAGTTTCGAAATAAATAAATAAATATGTATGTAAAGATTTAGACTGTGTTCGTTTTTAAAATATACACACAATTTCCAAAAAGAATAAAAATAAAAATGATAAGTACGTATATTCATTATTTTATATTACATATACAATTTATATTACATATACAATTTCTTATGTGTTATATATATATATATATAAATTTTTTCAAATAATTTTACAAAACAAATACACACCCTTAAAGTCAGAGCCTGGAACACTAATTCACTTAATTTTTAATGATGATACTTATTTTCAAATTAATATTGACTTATATTTAGGCTTTTGGAATTATTTAACTGTTTTGACAATATAACTATTAGATTATTGTTATTTTTATTAATGATTTTGTTGATAAACATTGGTCATAATATATACTTTATAAATTATGAAATATCTATAAATTTAGTTTTTATATGGTTTTTTTTTTCTTTAATTGTTTCTATTAAATTAGTTGGAAAATTTTCAAGTTTCAATATTTTTTTAGTGTACTTCATGTCAGGTATTGTCTTCGTTTCAAGTTATCAATTGACTTGGAATAAAAATAAACCTACCTTAGTTTGAAAAGAAATAATAAAATAATGTAAAAATCAACTAATTCTTTTTTTTTTTAAATAAAAAAGTAAAGTAGGAATCTGCAATCGCTACTCGTCGAGTGCACTTTGGGTAAATCCCTGGCCGAACCTAATACTTTTGTGAACAGCGGTGCAAGATAGGCGGATCAGAATATCATTGGAGGGAGTCAGGAAACAAGTCCCTTTGTGACCAGCGGTGTAAGATATGCAAATCAGAATATCACTGGAGGGGTCAGCAAACAGGTCCCTTTGTGAACAGCGGTGCAAGATAGGCGGATCAGAATATCATTGGAGGGAGTCAGGAAATAAGTCCCTTTGTGAACAGTGGTGCAAGATATGCAGATCAGAATATCACTGGAGGGGTCAGAAAACAAGTCCCTTTGTGAATAGCGGTGCAAGATAGGCGGATTAGAATATCATAAGAGGGAGTCAGGAAACAAGTCCCTTTATGAACAGCGGTGCAAGATATACGGATCTGAATATCACTGGAGGGGGTCAGACAACAAATCCCTTTGTGATAAGCGGTGCAAGATAAGCTGATCGAAATATATGGTAAAACACATATGTTATATGATCTTTGATTTGAGCGAGTGATTGCAAATTCGAGTCCCACATTGAAAGATTTGAAAAAAAATAAAATCCAACACCTTGTAAGTTCTACATTAACTTTCTTAGTACGAGACTTTTTTGGATAAAAATAAAAAATAAATTAACAATATCATACTAGTATTGAATTGAATATCATCACAACACCTTCAAGTAGCCTTGTTTCATTAATCTCTTAATGGAAATTGATTACCTCTCCACTTTCTATAATCTCGTTTTTGTCTTCTTCATTTTGGTGTACCTAAGAGTATTCTTTGTAGCACACCTAAACTATATCGAAAATTATAAATTTATGTGTTGTATTTTTTATATACTTATTTTATATTTTACCTACTACTAAGTCCAATAGAATCACGACACAAATAAATACGAACGAAAAGAGGTGGAACAAAATTGAAATACAATTATTATATATTGTGGAAAAATTAAAAGGCAACAATTTATTTATTCATTGATTAATCTAAAAGGCAGTCGAATGTGGTGCCTGAATTGATTTTTTTTTTTTTTTTTATGTGAACGAGACGAGGTTACGTTATAATTATATGTCCTTTTCAATTAAAATAAATTTTATTAAAGCAACGAATTAAGAACTCTTTTTTATCTTTAGCATTTAATTACATTTAATTGGTTGGTTTTGCATCAAGAATCAATTAAATATATATATATATATATATCATCTTTAATCTAATCGACTTTTAGTAATGAATTTGGGGTTATGACTTTATAGTGTTATTTGAAAAACGACAAATGAAATTGAAAGTAGTATTCCAATTAACTACGCAATTAATTAATTAGTGATAATTTAAAGAGGAATTGAATATTTGGAGTCACTTTAATTGATTTTCTATGGCTAGAATTTATTAAATATTTGTTTATTTAAAAAAGAGTTGGTATTTGCCACTGAATGGTTGTTGATTGCATTCCAATTATGCCATATATAATTTCGGTGGCAAATATTTATTAAAAGCATTTCACTTTAAGAAATTAATATTCAAGTTTAAGGCGGCAATTACACGCTGAATATTATTATCCTTTTTAACTTAAATAGTATCTCATTCAAAAAATATATATATTTTTTATTTTAGTAAAAATAATTATACATTAATATTAAATTTTACATAAATTACAAGCATATCATTAAACATACGATTAATTTATATATATAAAGTTAAAGAATAAAAATATCAAAATCTCTTGCACTCTATTGCTTCATTAGTCTCGGAGGAGATAACCCATTTGTTTCGAGCACAGTTATTTTGTAGTGTACATTACTAAGTTATTTATAATAAAAAAATTTATAATACAAATAAATAAATAAAAAATATATTTTTATTTATAATTAACTTAAACTAGCTTTATAAAAAAAAAAAAATTGAGTATTTAAAAAATATAGATAAAAATATTTATTTATTGAGAGAAGAGATATAAATAAAAAAGTTTTGAGTAAGTCTTACATGTAAGTATATGTGGTTTAATATTTAATTAGAAATGAATAAATTTATTAAAAATATAAATGAATTAGCTGTTATGAAACGAACAAAAAAAATTAAAAAAAAAAAATGAATTATTTGTAACCGGAGTAAAAAAATACAAAACCCCCAAAAGGCAAAAAATATTAAAACCTCATATATATTTTAAGTTATCACTCAAAATACTATTACTTCTCAATTTATTACATAACACAGCAAAATCTACCCTTGTTCATTTTTATATTTAAAAAGATATATATTGAGAAAATATTATATTATTTATTTATAAATAAATATAATTATAAGGACTCTTATTTCGAATGAGGGCTAGACTTATATTATTTTATATTTTCATTACATATTTCACTATAAATGTATCTCTAAAGTTTTATTATTATTTAAAATATCATGAAAAACCACGTAGAGACTGGTAAAACTATAAAATGATATTCTTTAAAGTTTAAAACAATCCAATATTTTGACATGGAATAAATTAATTCGATTCTATTCCAATTAAATGAGTCGGGTTACGTAACGCAATTTCGGCATCCAATGCTGAGGATACATACGCAGAATCTAGTGACTCTTCCTAATTTCTTTATTCCATATAATTTCTCACCGTCAAGAACACGCACATCAGCAACAAATTTTAAAATTAACACAGAAAAATCCCCCAACACAGATTAGTTGTCGTTGGACAATCGAACTGCGAATGAATATTCTGGTGACGAAGAACATTAAAAACACAACAAAATGATAATCCAGTTCGGCTGCAACAGCCTATATTGGGGGGTTCCAATCCAAGCGAAACTCACTGTTGAAAACATTGAAACACAAGATGTGTGAATACAATCGAGCTACACACTCAAGAAATCTATTTACCAATTTCTTGAGGATTTCCCGTACTCAACCTATCCCACACACCCCTCAACCCTCAGTGTTTTTATTTTCTCCCTCGATCCTGTCACCCCAAATCTATTTTTCTCCACTCCATATCCTATATAGAAGCTCTATATCCAAATATCCTAACAAACTCAACAAGAATTGAATTTATTCTTCCACTGTCTCTCCCAACATCCACAAAGTTTGTTACAACCAACGTTTTTGTTATTCTCACACATGGATTTGGGGGACCAACGAGTTTTCTAGATCAATTCATTTGGATCTTCATTAGATTGATCAATTAGGGTCATTTTCTTGTTTAATTGAACTCAAGACCAATTGGAGAGCGTTTGTTCATCACTGTTCGTCCGTTGATCGGATCATCTGCAAACATCAATCAAAACCTAAAAGCAAATACAATCCACTCTAACAATAAAGATAAAGAAAAACACATGTCGTGCCATGCAGATGCAGATGGAACCCTTTTTTAGTTTTAGTACAGATTTTGCAACCTGAATCCAGATTTTATTATTATTATTATTATTATTTATCTTTATAATTTTCAGATGACAAAAAGGCACGTAAAACACGGACTGCGTGCATGCATGCATGTGCGTCTGCATGTGCTGTGCTATTAATTTATTACAACGTGTCTATCATTTTATTTTATTGTATATTAAAGTGTTTGTTTTGGGGATTGGATTAGATTTCTACTGTTCATCCTATTTTTTTCCTCTCCCAAAAATCAAATCAAATACCTATTTTTTATTTTTTATATTATACTAAAAATCAATTTTACATTCAAAACATTACATCAATACCTATTTATATCACATTATACAACTATTCAAATTCAAAATTTTTACTATTCAAATCTCAACTTAAAATCCAAACCCCCAAACAAACACACCCTTAAACTGAAACTTTTACAATTTTTTCTTTCTAATCTCATTCTGTGTATCTGTTTGTTTGTACATGTTAACGCTTTCTTGATCCCCCTTAAAAGAAAAGATTGATTTCAATAAAGCTTTTTTTTTTTTTTTTTATGTTATCTTATTTTATTTGTAGCCTATTTAAGATATATTATACAAATGGGTAATTATAGGAAGTTGGTGCCATAAATCTTTCCAAGATGAAAAGCACCGTCTAATTGGCTTTTCTTATTTCTTTTTTGGATGAAGCCGCTATCCAAACCTAATACCCTGCAAATCAGGTCCGACAGAAAAGTTACACTAGGTGAACCATGTGTGGCAGGTGACCTGAGCGTATTACAAATCCAACTCCTACACCACCAGCCCATCCATGGACAAATCACAATAACTTCCTCTGATTAGAATTAATAATGTTTAAGTTTTATTTTGAAGTTTGTAACCTTTTTAGGTCTTATTTGTAGAATAATAATAATAATAATAATATAGGTCTCCATGCCTTGTGAGCAGCCGACCATGCTAACATGTCTGGTGATAGTTTTATATTATTATATATACATATGGATTAGGTGCCGAATGAAAAACATTCAGCACCATGCCGAAAGACTTAAAAATTAAATTTTTTTAATATAATTATGATAATTACCTATAAAGTCTTTCGGCACATGCTTTGAATGGTTTCATTTAGAATTTACAATTTATATAAAAAATATATATATTATTTCATCTAAAAAAAATCAATATTTAAACAAAAATAACAATAAAATTAAAATTTCAAAAAATAAAAATAAAAATACCAACTAAACACACCTCTACTACTGCTACTATTATTATTATTCTTGATGTGCTATATAAAAATTAATGTTTCTAATTGGTTTAGTTTTAATTTTGTGTTTTTTTATTTAAGTTATTATTTAAATAATTTTTTATATAATTTTATATTAAAAATAACTTTTTTATCAAAAATTGTATAAACTTAATTATGATCATTTAGATTTTAAACCCAAACCAAACCATTTACAGTGCACACTTAAATAGAGATACAAATAGATAACGGACATAGGAGCCCAATTAATAATATTTTTGTTGGCCCAGAGCCATAAATCAGCCCAATAGAATCGGCCGCGTAGAAAGCTAACCCTAAACCCTAAATCAACGACCCATAAAATCCTTCGGCGGCGACAAACGAAACGCTCCGTCGTTCTCCTACTAATTTTCAGCTGCAATTGTATTCCAGAAATTGGTCGTTGCTATTATTGTATAGTTTTTGATTGTTAATCGGGGCTGTGAAGACAAAAATCGTTTCTCGATGCTGAGATACGGACCTCTAATGTTTTATTCTGCTTGATGAGTTATTTATGCGTGTCTGAGCCCTCCGAATTTCATCGTCTTCGAGTTCGTGCTTCTGTGTGATTTTTTTAAAAAAAAAAAAAAAAAAATTATGTGCATATCTATGTTTGTATGATGGTTTCCATTATTTATTTATTTATTTTGAGAAAAGTTTGGGGGAATTGCGATGATTAGAAGTATAATTCCTGGTTCTGAATGCTGCGATTGGCATGACAGACTCTTCTGAACACCCATAGAATCTGAGCAATCGTTCCCTACTTTTTTATTTGTTTTGCTTTTTAATTAGATGATTTTGTTTGCTTGTAACCACTGAATTGAAGTGTGCTTACAGAAGAAGCTTCTCTGCCGAAAAGGCTTACAGCTTAAATCAGTTTTTTGTCTGACGATAATACCTAAAGGCAGCCGGAACATCAAGCGTATGTATGTATGTTTGTACATTTGAGATGTATTTGGTTTATATTTTGATTTTTTATACAGTGATTTCCCGCAAGAAATTTTGGTAGAGTTTTGGAATTTTGAAAGTTTAGAAAAATGAAAAAATTAGTATTTAATTTGATATTTTGAGACAGAAAAAAATATATTTGATAGTGATATTTTTTTAAAAATAAATAGTTTCAAATGATTGAAAAATTGTTAAATAAACAAAGTTCAATAGACTATAATTTTTCAAATATGTTACTATTCACCTCCTTTTTTAAAATATCATTCTCCTTCCGTCTCATAACAATGTATTTATTTTTTATTTTTGGTCAATCTCGTAACAAAATATTCATTTTCTTTTAGTACATGTATTATGTATCTAATATTATAAATATCTTTACAATTTTTAATATATTATACAAATATCATTACTTACGCAATACTGATAAGATCATTTTAGTCGCTTTTATTTTATTTCTACTAAATCTTAATATAATATTAATTTTTTTAAAACATCGCACAAAAAGCAAAAAGCACGTAGTTATTGAAGAAAAAGAGAGAGATTACAAACCTAAAATATACTCTCTGTCTTCCATTAGAGGAATATCGTGGAATTTTGTAGTAAATTAAAAAGTAATACTCCTTTGTCCGACCCTATGAATTTTATTTACTTTTTATTATACATCATGTATTAAAGAATTGTATTTGTTAAGAAATTTGTAATTTAATTAAAAATTAAAGATATTTTAATATTAGTATACAGTTATATTTCTAAAATATAGAACAAGATATCTTTTAATGGGACAATAATAAATTATAAAAAAAAAATATTTTAGATTAAGATGAACAAAGTCCTACTAAACATATAATTAGAGATAGTTTTAAATAATTAGTTATAAATGAAAGAAAATAAAAAATAATCTTTCCGTCCAAAAGGTTTACATTTTACTTTTTTTAATATTGATATTTGAATATTAATTATTACAAATTAAGTAAAAAATACAAAATATTTCTATTAGTGTCTTGTAATACAAATTTATTGATATTTGATACTATGGTATTTTTAATGTTAAGTACAAATATGCAAAAAATAAATGTAAATTTTTACAAAGGACAGAGGGAGTATTCGATAAATAAGCATTTCTAAATATAAAATAATTGTAAATATCATTAATTATTATTATCTTTTAATAATAGCTTATATTTAAAAATAATAATAAAATAATAAGTTATGAAAATGATATTGCTATCTAAACTGTGTTGGTTAAATGTTTTTTACTAATAAATACTAATTTTTTTAATTTAATATTAAAAATTATTCTTAAAAATTAGTATTACAAAAATATAATACTCCTTTCCTCTCACTTAATTTGTTTTCTGTTTTTATTTATGTCAGTCTTTAATTTGTCTTTTCATTTTTTTAAAAATATAATTATACACTTTAATTATATTTTAAAATTCATAATTTATTATTTATTTTTATTTTAATGAAATTATTTAGTCTTTTAATATTAATCTATAATTATTTTTATTAAATTATAATTAATTTTTCAAATATACTTATTAATTATTTACAAATTATAAAATACATACAATACAAACTCTGTGTCTATGCTAGCTAGAATAAATTAGCTAGGTCCGAAAGGACTACTAATTAATATTGTTAATTAAGAATAACTGTTGCCTTTTTATATTTTCGTCTTTTTTTAATGTAAAATGACTCACTAGGAACCGCAGCCACAGTATTTTCCCGTTAATTAGGAATGCTTGATGAAAATTGCACGATGAAATCAGAATAAATGTTGGAGTCCTCGTCCACTATATTCGAAATTTAAGCCTTTGGGAGATTGAAAATGCACAGAATATTTTGTATAAGGCCATACATAACCATCAGTTTTCGACGTAGGCTTGGCCGGCCCATTTTAGGGCTTGCAATTCGTGTAGCCTCATTTTTATTTTTTCGTTGGTCGGGATTAGTCTGACTTACTCCTAAATCTTGCCTGATTTCAAATTGGTTTTGGAAATGTAAGGTTAAGTACGATCTAGTTTGAAATTGAGACTATAAAGGTCTACTTTTTCTTTTTATTATTATTGTATTTCTTTTATAGTTTTAAATTAATTTAGAAATTTGTTTATATAAATAGTAGAAATTAATTATTGAACCTACAACCAAACTAAGTTAAAATTTTATTCTCAAACCTTTTTTTTAAAAATTTTTTGTTATTATTTTGTTATTAATATAATTATAAAATAATTTCATTTTAATTAATCGAATTGGATTAGGCACAGCCGAAGAAAAAAAAAAAAAAAATTCATGAAATTTATTATCTCCAATTGTAGTGGTTGTTGATCAAGTAAAGGATCAAAATGATTGAATAATTAGGTTCTAATTTTGTCGTATGATTTTCAATTACCTTTTTTCCTCAATTATAATATGTATATATATTGTATTTTGTTTTTTTTTTTTTTACAATTTTAACTTTAATTTTTGTTTTAAATAATTTGTTTTTGTAAAAGAATATATTTAAATAAATTTAAATATAATATTCAAATTTAAATAAAATTAAACAGATTTTAATATATGTTTTTTAATATTACATATATTTATAAATTTTGCTATATATATTTGTAAAAATAAGGGATTTAAAAATTTGGAGGCGGATCAATTTAAATGTAACTCTTTTGAACCAATAATAATAATAATAATAATAATAATAATGTAATAATGATATTAGAATAGAGAGAAGAATCAATTTTTAAATCGAAAATTTATTTCATTCATAGTCAAAACCATATATATATATATAAATATATAAAACAACAACGACATATTTGTATACATACATATTAATGTCCTAAAAAATTTATAAACATCCTAAGAATATAGAAAATATAGAACATATTCTATAAATGTGATGGATCACATCACATGATGTGTGTTGAATGCTTAAGAGTTTATCATTTTAATTTACTCTATTAGTTCTATAAAATATTTTCAATATTATTAATATATTTTTATAAAATATATGTAAGTTATTAAATTAAATTAATTATTTTTATTTATTTTATAAATAAATTATTTTGATATTAATTAATTTTATTAATGTGATCATTTGTATTTTTTTGTAGTATATTTGTATAATTTTTAGTTTAATTTATTGTGTATATATTTAATATTATATTTTTTTAATAGTTCTGTAAAATAATATATTTTATAAATACTAAGAAAATAAAATATATTTTATTTAATAATTTTTTAATTTAAGATTATAATTATTCTAAAAATGAAAAAAAAAATATCACATAACATAATAAAATAAATTATTTAAGTCCACTGAACCAATAAAACATATTTACATATTTTTTTTATTAATATTACCAAAAATATTATTACCTAGAAGTAATAGACACACCATTTTTATCATTGTATTTAATATTAAAAATATCATGCATAATTGACTCAATAAATATCATTTTATTTGTATTATTCGAAAAACTTTACCGCTCTTAAACACTTGTCTGACAAATGATTGCCGGCGGCAGCGACATTAGTCGCCGGAATGTTTCTGCAGGTAGTCCGTAGTCGATGCCGCCGGAGTAGTGTTCCCCTGCAGCTTAATTGGGACTTCCGTCGACGGATTTCTTGGATTTTGGTTGCTACCATTGATGATTTGTTTCTGGATTGTATCATTAATACTTTGGGCTGGGGACCAATTGTTCATATCGGAAGCCGACCGTTTACGGGATGTTCCTTCTCCGGCGGAGAGGTTGCCGCAGTGGTGGAAGAGGAGGTCGCTGCTGCTGCTGCAACAGCGAGATTACTAGGGGCCTGATCAGCCTAGGGTTTGCGTTTTCCACCATCGTCGTCATTCTCATGCGGTTCCTCTGATTATTAAAATTATTAGTAGTAATAGTGTGCTGCAAATTTGGATTTCTGGAAATTGCTAGAAGAGTGGGCAGAAGGAGGTAAGTTTGAAGAAGAACACGATTGACTTTGGATGAGGTCGAGGGTATAGTTAGGCTGCTCAATGGGACGTGGTGGATCTGCTGACTGCTGCAGAAGAAGAATTAGGTGGTTGTTGATCAAGTTCTTGATGATTATGATTGAAACCTGCAGAAGATTGTTGATGATTATTGGATCTGGAACCAGAAGGCTGATGTTCTTGATCGTTCATCTTGGGATGGATGGAACGAAGAAGATGAAGAGGAGACTTTGATCAATGGAATATCACGAACTGATGGAGAGGATTGAAATTCATTTGATTTGGATGCTGATATAGAAAAAATTGCAAAAAAAATATCAATTTACATGTATACTTAATTGTCACTATTTATTTTGTAACAAAATATATTTTACAATTTTTTCAATACATGTAAAGAAAGCTAAAATTGAAGTAAATCTATCGATAGGATCCAAATCAAATCCATTGATCAAAGTCTCCTCTTCGTCTTCTTCGTTCCATCCCAAGATGAGCGATCAAGAACATCAACCTCAACAATCTTCTGCAAAACTAATCATCAAGAACTTTAACAGCCACCCAATTTTTTCTGCAGGTTTCAATCCTAATAATAATAATAATCAAGAACATCATCAGCAACCAGCTAATTCTTCATCTAGACAGTGAGTACATCATGCATTATTTATAAAATTTAAAAGGTGTCTTATAAATCTGACACGTCATTTTAATCAACCTAACAACTCAAAGAGATGCAACCATTACTTATTTCCTAATTTAATCACGCCCAAATTTGGGGACAGAAAAATTTTGTAATTAGGTAGTTTTATAATTTTTCCAAACCTAACCTGGAACCGCTATTTGTTCAAGAT